GAGAAGAAGGGGAGACTGAACGTTGATGGCGTGTGTGGCGCGCACCAAAGGGGTGGGGTTTGCCTGCGAACTCGTAACCCGGTTCCAACAAGTTCCGATGACCGGTAAAAAAGTGGGTAGAGGTTGGCTAAGGAAAGGACGTTAATCGCTATGCACCAAGCACCTCAACGGGTCGAGTTTGCAACGAATCTTGAAAATCGTCCAGAAACGTCCAGAGAAGAAAAAAAAAGCGAGCGATAGTTGTCAACGAAAGGAGGGACAAAAGCCACCAGTGAGCGGGAAGCAAGGTGGCAGGAGGAACTAAATTCCACACTGGAAGACAGCTCATCGAATCTAGCTTAGAACAAGCAGGAATTCGTTTTTCGCTCATTACCACTTCCTGTCGTCATCACATCTTGTCACCTTAATCGTCCTACTATAGAGCGCTTCGGCCGTCGTCTGTCGTTCTGTACGCCTTTCACGAAGTTCACTAGCTAATGAAGATCCGCCTGAAGAGACCGGGTCAGGTGTAGAATGAGTTGGAAAGGTCTCGCGAAGTACAAAACACACACCAGCTAAGCGGAGCCCCGCCCACGGTGGTGTCCATCGAAATGAGCGGCACTGACGACCGAGATTTTCAATTCTGTAACAAAACACCTCAAAACTGGGAAAAAAAGTGGGTAAAGGTGTGCCGTGGTAAGAAAAATCTAATAAGGGAGACCAACCCTCGGTGGCCGAGGCGTTCTCTAAAAAAGCAGCGCTTTATGAAAACATTCATAACCCGGTTTAGAGTAGTCCTACAGAGTAGAAAAGATGTGGAAAGCAATGCCTAAGGTGTTCCCAGCATGAATGATGTGAGGGAAAGCCCGCCCACAATGGGCGGAGTGTGCCTTGAAGTACACAGCGTTTCCTACAAGTCACCACAATTCGGTTCCAAGAAGCCGTGAAAAGCTGGAAAAAGGCATATACAGGCAAGAGAAGGAAAGGAGGCTATATGTCAGTGGTGGGTGTGGTGCGCACAAAAGTGGGCGGAACTTGCTACCGAACTCGGTTACGAAAAGTCCAAGAGACCGGGAAAAAAGGCTGTACAGCTGACTACGGGAATGAGGTCAACATCTATAGGTGGGTGGAGCGTGCACCAATGTGAGCGAAGTAATCCACGAATCATTATAACTCGGTTCGAAGGAGTCCTGGAGACGGGAGAAGAAGTGGATCGATTCTGAATGCGGAGGGGGAGTGAACTGCCACTGGTGGGTGGGGCATGCAGCAAAGTGGGCGGAGTTCGCCAAAGCTTCATAATTCGGTTCCAAGAAGTCCCAGAGATCGGGGCAAAAGGGGGCAGAGGTCGGCGAAGGAAACGAGGCCAAATGCTTTTGGTGAGGAAGCCAACTAAAGTCAGGAGGAAATGGGAGGTGTACTACAAGGCGCTCCTGAACGAGGAGTACCCCTACAAAGACAGCTCGCAAGCAGAGGCGACGGCTGGCCCTAACTCACTATGGACAGAGGATGAGGTTCGTCAAGAACTAAAGAAGATGAAGATTGGGAAGGCGGTGGGTCCAGATAAGGTGCCAATCGAGGCATGGAAGGCGCTCGGAGAGCACGGGATCAGATGGCTTGTCGAATTCCTGAACACGGTAACTACCGAAGGAAGGATGCCGGATGCCTGGAGAACAAGCACTATCGTCCCCATCTTCAAGCAGAAGGGTGACGCGATGGACTGCTCCAACTACCGCGGGATCAAGTTGACTGCTCATACAATGAAGCTGTAAGAGCGACTGATCGACTCGATACAGCGGGAGCTGGTCCCGATCTCCCAGGAACAGTTCCGGTTCATGCCACAAAGGTCTACATACTATGGATGCCATCTTCATCGCGACACAAGTGATGGAAAAGTACCGAGAAAAGCGCCGACCCTGCTACCTAGCCTTGACCTGGAGAAGGCGTTCGACCGACTACCTCGAACAGTACTATGGAGAGCGCTCAAGGAGCGGAATGTGCCAGAACACCTGATCTCTCAGGTGAAAGACATGTACGATGGGGCGAAAGCAGCTATACGCACCCCACACGGCCTAACGAAGGAAGTGGACATCACGGTTGGGGTGCACCAAGGGTCAAGCTCTGAGCCCGTTCCTCCTCCTCCTCACTAGATGTCATGGTGAAGGGGCTCATGGAGGGACCACTGGAGACTATCCTCTATGCTGACGACGTCGCCTTGATAGCTGATAGTAGCTGATAGTCCTCCTCCTCCTCACACTAGATGTCATGGCGATGGATCTCATGGAAGGGCCATTAAAGACAATCCTCTACGCTGACGACATAGCCATGATAGCGGAAAGCAGAGAATAACTACAGGGCAAGGTGCAGAAATGGCAGGAAGTCCTGACAGAATGTGGGCTACGACTGAATGTCAAGAAGACCAAGTTCCTGAACTCGGAAGAGGGTGCAGAGCCGATCGTGGACGGCCATGGTGAGACCATCGAAAGGGTGGAGGAATTCCGATACCTTGGGAGTGATCTGGCAGCCGAAGGTAGTGTGGATCAGGCGGTGAAGGCACGAATCAACGCGGCCTGGATGAAGTGGAGGGAGTCCACTGGGATCTCTGCGATCGAAGGTGCTCCAGAACACTGAAAGGAAAGGTGTATCGGCAGTGGTGAGGCCTGCGATGCTATACGGCAGCGAGTGCTGGCCCCTGAAAAAGAATCACGAAAGGCAGCTGCACTCCGATGAGATGAGGATGCTGAGGTGGGCCTGTGGCTGGACGCGACTGGACAGGGTGAGGAACGAGGAGGTCAGAGCGGTCATGCAGACTGCCCCTGTCCAGCTGAAGGTACGGGAACAGCGTCTGCGATGGTATGGGTACGTGCTAAGGAGGCCACAGGACCACCCAATAAGGAAAGCAATGGACTTCGAAACGCAAGGCAAGCGACCGCGGGGTGCCCCAAAGAAGAGGTGGAAGGACTAGTCAAGAAGGACCTAAGTGAAATCACGGCCACAGCAGAAGATGCCCTAAACAGAGCGAAGTGGCGACGCTGATAAGACAGCGACCCTGCGACTGCGCGGGACTAACGCTGGAGAAAGAAGAAGAAAGAAGTCGGGCACGCACAGAACGAGCGAGCTTGTTGACAGACTTATAAAGTGTTTCTAGGAAGTTCTAGAGATCGGGAAAAACGTGGGAGGCAAGGAAGAAAAGGAAGGGCGGGACAGCACCAAAATAGGCGGAGTTTGGAACAAGATTTATGGATCGGTCCATATGCAGTCCAGAAAAAAGAAAGAGAAAGCGGATAATGGTTGAAGAAGGAGAGGTCGAAAGACATCGATGATGGAGCGGATAGAATTTAGCCAAGAAGCCTGATATCCATAGTGTATCAGACCAATTGAGAATTTTCGTCGCAGATCTGTGTTGCGTACGCAATGCGTGCGGCGCCAACTGGTTTGCCAATAAGAGCGCTGCAACATAATGTGCAGCGCTAGTGGGAGACACTTGCATTCAGACACCACTTGACAGCCTTTATCAGAAATTAACACTTTCTATCACCCTCCATCTGCTGTCCGACTAATCCCCCAACATGGAAGAACCAACACTGAACTGACCATCATGGAGGGTGAAACAGAATTTATGGTGTTGACGTTGTTGCTCCACCTGTCAGCTTTTATCGGATATTATCACTTTTCCTCGCTCACCTTCCATATGCCCGCCTGGGTCTCCATACATATTACTTGAAAGAACCAGCACTCTACTGAGATGTCGGTCAGACTCTGCGACTGCATCGTGCGATGCATCGCTCTGCCTAGAGCGATTGGCATCGCTCCAAAGTGCGAGCGACGGGAGATTTACCCGAGCAGCGCCGTGTGTATCGGTCGTCGGCGGGGTAAATCAACACTGCGAGGTGCTGCCGCCGCCATTTCTGCTTGACAGTGATGGCTGAATAAAGGCTGTTCATGACTGCTTGTTTCATATTCAGTTTTCAAATGTTCAAATGACACTTGACATTTTTGCGATTCGTGCGGATCGCGCGACGGATAACGGACCGTGACACCAACATAAGATTTGTCCTACAGTCGATATCACTTTCGATCAGTCCTCATTTGTGTCACCTTTTGATACCCTATGCCTAATGTAAGAACCAACCTTCCCCTGCTACCGCAGAAGGTACAATGAAATAAGTGGAACTCACATTCTCATCCTCAGTACCAGCTTTTATCAGCTGCCATCAATTTCATTGAGCCCTCATCTAGGCTCTCGTCCGACCCCTCATATTGCTTAGGAAAGCAGATTCCAATATCACCTCGAAGGGCCCAACAAATTTGTTTACATCCACATCAGACGCCACTTATCGGTAACTACATCACCTTCGGTTTGCTGACAATATCGTCTATTTATAATGCCAAAAAGCAAGCAGAGCAGATGCTGGCTGACTTCGACTGCACCTGTGGCAATGATAGCAATGAAAAAGCTCCACCACTTATCGTGCGTCGAACCTAGGACTCCCTCCAGTCGACTTCAGAATACATTCGCCACAGGATGGCAGGCCGACCAGATTTGAGGTTTCTTCTCAAGTATCTGGACTTCGGCAATCAAATAACTGGCATATTGTGAAAGATAATTTGGAGGTTCATCACAACACATAGGCTTCCTACTGCATCGCTTCAATCAACGCACTTTGTGGGCTTATAGAGGCAGAAGTAGTCGAACATTCCTTCAATGAAAGACGATTTTCAGGCTTCAAATGCTGCGAAAAGAGAGAATGTTTCAAAACGGTCCCAAAACTTCGCACGATGAACAAGAAAATGCGCGAAGACTTTTCCAACAACCTAAGGTATAGTAGGGATAGGGACGTTTTTAATTGCCTCCGAGCGCTGAAATAACAAGGATAAGGGAAACTCCCAACACCCCATTTCGAAATACTATGACAAATTTTAGTAAATTGAAGCGCCTTAAGCGCAGCAGACTACAAAACTGCAAACCAGTCTGATGCCGAGAGAATGCTTTCTCTGCAACAGTCACCCAACGTTTCAAAGAGTCAGCATTCACAGTGAGAACACAATAACTCTCCACTAACCTCCACATCTTCCTGCAGACCGGCGTTTGCGCTGAACAAAGATTCATGATAGCGACGTAGAACTGAGTGTATAGGCCCTTCCATATCTTTTTTGGGCTGAAATGAAATGTACAAATGTCAAGCGGAACAAGAAAAGCAATTCGAAGACAACTACAATCATGTCAATAAACTCACACTAACAGGCCGGTATCCATCAACTATATTCAGTTCTTCGTTCTTTTCTTTACACGATTCGGTCAGGAATCTAAGGTTCACCAATTTATGATCAATCTAAACGAACCCATGAATCGTTTCATTCGGGATCTGATAAAAGTAGAAAATAATAGTACATGGTAGTAGTAGTAGCTGTAAAAAAAATAAAATATGAAAGGTTTCTGTGCAAAGCAAGTTACCCTGCCGCTCACAGAAAAAAGTACCTCAGCGTCAAGTATCAGCTCTGCAACACTCTCCTCGCATTTGATTCGAAACATTGATACAACCTTTTCTGTGATCTCATCCACATCAGATTTTGGTAAATTCAAGCCAGATTCCCTTGCCTAAAGCTGGAACTTCTCAAATTACAGTTTTAGGAACTAGGATGATAGGGCGTGATTCACGCTGGGGCGCTGGTGCAAGCATCCTTCATTTACGGTTGTCCACTTTTCATTCACGATGCTAACCATAAGCCCAACAGCCACCCTGAAACCCTGCTTATTCTTTGCTACGTGTCTCCTGTTTTCCCTCCAGGTGCGTTAATTGCAGGACGATAGGCATTCAGATATTAGGATTAAATCACTTCAAAAAAAAAACTACGTGACAATTAAATTTTTGATTGGACTGGTGCATAGACCAATATGCATAGATATAGGCAGAGGTCTGCTGTTCAAAGGTGACCAGACAATATCGGAAAGCTTCACAGAAACTTGTGGAGCATGCCGCCAAAAAAAACTCCCACGATCATCGAGTGTAACTCCTTTACGTAATTTCGCTATTACTATAGCACACTTGCCGTCTCTTGAAAGGTGTGTGCAAAGGATTGAAGGAAGCGATCGTGCTGGTTTCCAGATGGAGCTGATGGTAAGTTCTACGAGTTACTAAAGCCGCGTTCATGGTTCGCGACTCCGGAGATTAGGATAGTACGCGACAATGAAAAACATATGTATTGACGGGAAGATTAGGATGGTAGTAGATTAGGATAGTAGTAGAGTAAGATTGCGCACAGGATTAGATACGTATCGATTGAAATCGCTGGAGAGTAGCAGATTGCGATATCACGATAGTATAGTAGTAGAGTAGGAGATTAGGATAGTAGTAATTAGGATAGTGCGCTGACAAGATTAGATATGTATTGATCTATTCGCTTGAAGTCGCCCAATCTACTACTTTCCAGCGATTTCAGTCGATACGTATCCAATGTTGTCAGCGCAATCTCCTACTCTACTACTATCCCAATATCCGGTGCCTACTATCCTAATCTCCCGAGTCGCTAACTATGAACGCGACCTAACCAACGGACTCGAGATAAAAGCTGATAGAGAATGATTAGCCTCATAGAAGATGCGATATGATGAGGTAAGAGGCACAGCTGTTCGGTATAAGATGCACTGTTGAAGAAGAAAAAACCGAGCGATCGCGATAACGCCGTCATATCGAGTACACTGCTATTGCAATCCCTTCCACATGCGGAAGCTTGAAAGGTGGTGCTGAATTCCGAACGGGTTCCGACTCCATCAAATTTTCATTCTGGAGTGTACCTCAATCGAAGCACCCGTATCTTCTTATTGTATCGTATCTATCTTCCATGAAGTTACGCGGGGTTTGTTCAGCTGAGCTTTTATCTCGAGTCTTTCGGTTGATAACGCATAGGATGCAACTCCACCCGAAGTCAGAGCGAGCTACTTTTAATCCGTGGAAACGTCTATTCAGTTGGCGAAATATTATTGTGCCGGTGGTGCGACAGATATGTATCTAGTCCATACTCCAGCAAGCGAACTACAAGGAATCCGCAAGGTGTGACCGCGGCCTGTGAAGGGTCGGTGCATCACCGCTTGCAAAGGTCGAACGGTGTAGCGTCCTAGTGAGCCCCAACTAGACGATAGTGGTATGGATTTTTAGCCCCAGTCTCCTGTTTGGAGAATGGTTCCGCAGGTAGTGCACAGTGTAAAATTGGACGAAGAACTTACAGCTTTGCGCAAGCATTTCGGACGATTCAGCCCTTGACAAATCTCTTCCAAAAGTGTGTCAAGAGCGGTATGCAGTCTTTCCATTCAGCTAGTCAGAAATAAGAGCAATTAATCGCCCTTCTGTCTGAAATTAATAGGCATTTAGTCGAGACGAGTGCAGTAAAGTATTTTAAAAAATCTTCGAAGACGCTTCCAAAAGCAAAATATTCACTGAGCGTAAACCTATAGTCTAAATGTAGTCTAGTTTATGATGTTAATAAAGTTAAAACTCGCGATAAAATGGTCATGCGAGGATGGCTAATGGAAAGGGTATGGAAAGAATGAAGTGACGAATGTGACTTCCGGGGCAGAGAGCGGCCCTCACCAAAATCATAAGATGCAGAAGTGTTGAACGAGATCCAACTACCGTACCCGAACGAGTTGCATGATTCTTCTATGGAGTGCATTTCATGTCAAGCTGAACAACTTCAAATCTTACTCATTTCAGCTTTTACGGATACTTGTCCTGCGCAGCACCAATACATAGTCCTTTTACTATGGCATATGAAAGTATCATTAACACCTTGACGACA